CAGATATTCAGATCGGCATCGCGCGGGATTGCCTGACCCTCCCCCCACGCCAAGACTTTCACCGGGCAACGGAAATTTGGGCGGATTGATACGAATAGCACCAAACCATCAGCGCCTCACAAAGCATGATCTGCTTTGACCAAGAGGTAGTCTGGCGTCGAGAGCACGCCGGATCGTGGACATGGCGCTGCACCAACGAAGTTAAGCCCTGCGATATACTTTCGACTAGGACGCAAATGTGCTCTGGTCCGTGAAGGACTCGACTCGATTTTGTGAGTACGCTGAGTTCAGCGACTGTTGGGGAAACCCAGAAAAGAAGAACACACTGCGAGGTGAAGAAAGAATGAAGAGTCACGATAGACTCGAGGCTGAATCAAACACCAGCCGCCGGCGGCTCAGACCGGAAATTGATGCCTGAGGCTGGGAAATAAAGCCCTTCCTTCCCGTCACAATCGAGCTGAAAATAGGCATGGAAGTAGTCCTCCATGATAATCAGTAGGGGGGGTGGCGAATAGGACTGGGCTGAGCTGGGCTCAGCTGGACTCTGCGGAAGTGCTGCGCATCGATTAATTAAATACACAGAGCAGACCAGACAGCTGAGGAGCATCTGAAGGGCCAAATTTAGCTCTGGGTCGATCAGCTCCAGAAGGGGATCGATCTCACACGAGGTACCGCGGTCAATGCTGCCGTTGCCGCACTGGTGACTACTGGTTCTGGCAGGAAGTCAACCTGGAGATACTCATACATATATTAAACGGGATCCCCTTCCCCCTCCCCCTCCCCCTCTGCAATAACCATTTGGAGATATGATGCTGATCATCGGAGACACCGTCCGCCAGCCAGCACCTCTATTGCCTTTCCAGTATATGTACTTATGAAAGGATTGTCTGTGGCACTGGTGCCGGAGACTTTTCCCTTTCGGAGATCTACTTCCGCGGATCAACATTGCCCCGGATACCCTGATGAGGGGGGGCACTAAACCCTCCAAAGTAGTCGCAATGGCGAACGGTAGCTTTCCAAGTTCGGACCTCGGGAATGAAGTCTGGATCCTTCATCTATAACAAACAGTCCGGCAGCTGCTTAACGTGGTTGTCCCACTTGGCAGCCACACGAGGCGTGGATGCAGGAGATGTGGGAGCAAGCGATGTGGGAGGGGGCGACGGCAAAGGAGGAGGACGACCCTCGGGTTGAGATTTCTAGAAGGCCACGTGCGTGGCAGCAAGCCACCGAGCCAGGGTTTGGTGATCCTTTTTGTTTTTCTTGCGGGGTACAGGCACAAGGTTGTGGTAGGCTACAGTATTAAACAGCCAAAACAGCCAAAACCCCAATCGGATGGCGTCATGGGAAGGAGTCTCAGTCAAATAGAGTCATTTCAGCCGACAATGGGGACTCAGGAAGGACGTTCAGGTTGGTCTTTTCCTTATGTACAGAAAGAATCATTCTGGGTCACCGGTCGATGATTCTACCTTGTTAGTGGAGTTGGGGGGGGGACGACCAAGTAATTGGAAATCCTTTGGATTGGGCCAGACACGCAGCAGCGTGCGGGACTCAGCACAGCGTCTTGTCGGGCAACACAAGCCGATCGCCGCCACGGAGGTTAAGCACCAAAGAGGCTTAGCGGTAGTGTTCCGTTTCACTCCCACCCACTCCCACTGCACCCACGGGTCCCTGCGCACATACTCATTGCTACGGAGTACTATCGAGTAGATCGATGGTAGCCCACCACACTCAATCTTAAATCGATGGCAGGGCAGACTTTTTTTTTTTTTTTACCAGTTTACAAGTTGATTAGCATTTTTTTTAAAATCAAGGTTCTCTTAGTCAGGACTCAGGACTATGTGCAATCGAGTGATCTGGGCCCCAACTAAGGTGGGCATGTATACGATACGATTCATGCACCCGTGTAAATGTAGGCTTGGTTCGGTGCTCGCTCAACCGTTGATTGACGTTTCAGGTGGTGTGTGTGTGTGTGTGTGTGTGTGTGTGTGGACTTGAAGAGAAGGTTTGGACCGAGGGCTGTCTTAATAAGGGGTGTTAAGACTGTCTCTCCCCCGAAGTTCATCCACTTGTAATAATGAACCACTGCCGCTGTCGCAACGTGCTACTACTGCTGTCTAGTTGCACCTGACATAGAAGCCTGTCACCATGAAGCTTCACCACGGTTTGTTGTTCCTGCTGGGAACTCTTACCACCACCGCGCTCGCAACAAACTATACCACCGCCGACTTCTCAGAATGTGTCGTTAGTAACCCATTTTCCAAGTTGCGCCTCGACTTGGTGTTTTCTCACACTAATCTCTCCTCCCTTCGGCAGGTGTCTTACTGGGAGCAAACCTACCCAGATTGCCCAATCACTGACACCTCATGTGTTTGCACCAAAGAGTCCAGCCTGATCGCCTACGCTTCAAGCGAATGTACTCCCAAGGAGTATTTCCGTGAGTTTCTCGACCTATCATGCTATCGAGACGTTTCGCATGCTGATACCTCGCAGACGCCAGGCACCTCTTTGAACAAGAATGTAATATTCGCCCTCGCGCCGGTCCTTCCCTCGTGGACCCGTCCGTTCTTGCGCCGCTCGTTCTTGCGACCGTCTTCTTCGTCATCCGTTTATGGGCCAAGTTCCAGGGTCTTGCGGGAGGCTGGGGGCCGGACGACACTACAATTGCGCTCTCATTTGTAAGACTCGGTCGCATACTGGAATCTCGCACTGGCGGCTCACTGATATCGTCTTTCAGGTCTTTGGTGTTGTTGAATATGCCATGTACGACAAGAGTGAGTGACCTCCCTCTGAGTTTCGACGGTTCATCTATCTCCTAAAGTAACACCGCATCAGTGATCTACTACGGCTTTGGCCAGAACATTTGGGACGTCCCGTTCGACGACATCACGAATTTCTACAAGGTGTGTGAGGTATACTAGTGCGCTCGCGGAGTAACACTGACGGATCTCCCACCACACAGCACTTCGAGGCGCTGGCGATGGTCTACAAGACGCAAATCTCGCTCGCCAAGATCTCCGTCCTGCTCTTCCTTCTCCGCATTTTCCAGTCGCGCGTTTTCCGTACGTTTGCCTACATCATGATCGGCGTGAACGCTTCGATCGGCATCACTTTTGCGCTGGTCGACCTGCTCCGGTGCACCCCGGTGCACCTGGATTGGGATGGATGGGCCACGAACTACGCCGGCGGAACCTGCATCAACTTCATCGACGCCATTCTCGTGCACTGTATTGTGAACATTGTCGCCGACGTCATCATCGTCGTCCTGCCCGTGTACGAGGTTTCGAAGCTGCAGCTGCCGACCGGCAAGAAGATTACCGTGGGAATGATGTTCATGATGGGTTTGATGTGAGTTGAATTATGTGGCATTCGGCATCTCTATGTCCATCTCCATATACTGATGGGGAAATGCTGTCTAGTTTGACGGTTGTTGCGATTATTCGGCTGGTTGTCTTCTGGAACCACCGCTGGGGCGTGAACCAAACTGGTAAGCCCATCATCTCATCCTCCACCATCGGTAGCAGAGAGCGTGACACTGACTCCGCATAGCTGGTCTCCTCCCGCTCATTCACTGGTCTGTCATCGAGTCGCAAATCGCCATTCTCACGACGTGTCTCCCCGCCGCCCGAGCGGTGGCCGCCCACCTCATCCCGGGGATGAACAGCCAGAACTCGCGACGGACCTACGCCTCGCGCGGCCCTTCCTTCATGTCCAAGGGCCAAACCAATGCCAACAGCAAGATCTCCAAGTCCGTCAATTTTTCAGTTGATTATGTGTCCCGAGGCCCGCGCGATGACAACAGCGAGGTTCATCTGGTGGAGATGGACGGGAAATACACTCGCGTCTGAAAGGAATCCCCGATACTTTTACTTACTTACCATCCATGAGGAACGGTGTTATGGAGTCATGAAGGGTTTTGCTTTGTTCTCGGGTTTGTTTGATACCCTTTGCACCGAATACATCACTTCCATCCGGGGGGAGGCATCCGTCACCGGGTCTGTCTGTCTGTCAATCATTCAAAGATTTTTTTTTCCTATGTACCAATTCTTATCTACAAAGATCGATTCGAAGATCGAGTCGATCCCATTGTCATGAGTCTGTTTCCATGATGAAGTGCACCCTACAGATTTAATTCATCACTTTAATAATATCTCATCACACAAACTTTAGATTATCTTCACAAAGATTTTTTCGTTGTTCAAAGCACAAAGGCTCGAGGGCGGAGACTCCCGCGGTGAAGCAACAAAGCGGCATAAGTTTAGTCAGATGCATAAATAGCCGCGTTGCCGTCGCATGCCCGGCCAGGCCCCGTTTCACTTTTCCCGCAACCCGATAAGAAGATTATTTGGTTTGGTGAAACTGACGCGAACTTATCTCAACTTATCTCATCACGCCTTATTATCATCATGGAAGATCAAAAAACGAGTGAAGAACTTGCCAAGTCGCGCTGGGCTCCCCAAGGCTCCGACGAGCCATCCAGTGTAAGCTCCACCACTACCACCACCACCACCACCACCACTCATCATCAGCATTCTCATGGTCGTGGTGGGACCCAGAATCGCCATCAGAAAAGATCCTACACAACCAAGCCTGCTCCGCGGACGATCCGGCAACCCCAGCCCGCCGTCACTGCAACCACTACTACCAACGGTACTACCATCACCGCGACAGCCAGCAGCACTCCCAACGGGGCGTCATCTGCACCACCCAACACGAACCCCAAAATCTGGACCCCGTCCCCGCGCCCTGCCCCCAGCAACGGCACGAGCCCAACCCAGCACCACCAAGAGCAGCAGCAGCAGCAACGAGCCGCAAGACTCCCGCGGGTGGTGGGCGGAGTGAGCTCCTCGCTCGGCGACGGATGGGAGAAGATCCCGACGCACCCGGAGCCGCCGACCCCGGAGCCCTCCTCGTCCGCGCACAGCCTCCGCTCTGACTCCCAGTCGCCCACGAAAAAGAAGACGCGACCGGTCCCCCCGTCCATTGCCGACGCCGTCGAGGCCCTCTCGCGCTACCGGAAGATCCGACGGCGGCTGGAGTGGAAGCTGCGGCACCTGGTGGACGGGTTCAAGCAAGCGACGAACCGCGACCAGCCGGCCGCGGAGCAGCTGTACGCGGAGCAGATGTTCAAGCTCGACTTCCACGAGTACTACGGGCTGCTGGAGCGGGCGCTGGTGTACCTGATGCTGGTGTGGAACATCCACGTCTCGCGGGCGCACCCGTCCACCCACACCAACACGAACAAGATCAGCTGGGCGGACGAGATGAATGGCGGTGGCAGTTCCAACCACCGCTACCACGCCAACGTCCTCGAGGCCCTCCGCGACCTCGACAGCCCGTACTTCGAGGTGCTGGGGTCCGGCGAGCGCTTCGCCCACCTGCAGAAGGCCAAGGAGCTGCGCAACCGCTGGAAGTACGCCGACATGGACCCCGAGGAGCGCGAGCGCGACCCCCAGACCTGGCGCGCGGGCTACAAGGCCTGGAAGGACGCGCTGACCCCGCTCGAGAGCTATGACTTCGATACCATCTTCGTCCAGATCCTGCAGGGCTTGGTCGAGGCGGCGGACATCGCCCAGCAGCGGGTCGATGAGCTCGGGCGCGAGGCGGGCCAGGATGATGCCGCGGCGGCCGCCGGCGGGAGCGAGAGTGACCCCGACGACTGGGACTTTTTGGTCGATGCGATGGATTGGGAGGCGGTTTGAGCAAGGAGATGATGATTTCTTCGGTACATCTCTAGTTTTTGTTAATATCATTCTAGTCCGCAATTTCTTTGGAGTTATTTTTAATATTGTTGTTTTTTTCCAGCGCTGGCGGGATTTGGATACCCTCAACATCACCAAGCATTTTGCCCTGTTTATTGCATTGTGAGGTACAATCCTTGTTTCAATGATGTATCTATCGATGCTATTTTTATCCTTCTCTCTTTACAGTCATATGCATAAGCTTGTACATATTTTGTTCGCTGATACATGTTCGAGTGGACTATTCAGTTCGTGGAGGCGGACTCTCTGCTAGGCGACCATCCCGATTTACCGCCTGAAAGTGCAGAGCATATTAGCCCGGCTGCTGAATGACCCAGCGTGTACTGTCTAAGTCAGGTCCGGGGTAATCAAAACACAAAAGATTCCGTCAAACCTCAGCACAAATATTAGTAAAAGGAATTCACAAAGTTGAAACACAAAAAGAATTTGGTTAATTACAAAAGAATATGTCAAAAAGATACCACCAACGAGGCAAGAAATGAAGTCCAGAAATCTAGAATGACAACTTGAGGAAGTTTACCAAGATAATTCTTTTTTTTTTTTTTTTTTTTTTTTTTTTACTGAGAAAAAAAGTAATCGATGATTATAATATCAATCTAGCCAAGTTCCGCGTACGGATTATACACGTATACATCAAGCACACACCCACGTAGCAGAGCAATTTAGATACTAGGAGAACTCAGGGCACAGAATCACCCTTACCCTTTCCTTGCATCCACGCCGAACCCCCACCCTTGGAGGAGTCGGTCCCTCAGCGAATCCCCATTGCCCTGCAGGACGGAAGGATCGAGGTGCACGGTGCACATGAGCTCCCTGGTGAGCTCGACGCAGGTCGCGAATGCGCCCTCCCGGCCGACGACCTCATCGTAGCTCCGGGGCGAGGCGAAATCGCCCGAGATGTTCGAGCGGATCACCCGCCCGCAGAAGGTGTCGATGAAGCCGCGCTCCACCCCGCGCTGGGCCTCGGCGGAGTCGAACGGCCGCTCCGGGTCGCACGCGACGGGCGAGTTCAGGTGCAGCACCATCAGCAGGAGGACCTTGTCCGCCCCGTAGATGGCGATGTAGCCGGGCGGGACCCGTGGTGGACGGGAAACCATTTTTCTTTCTCACTGAGTACCGTACAATGTGCGTTTGCTGAGGTTGTGTTGTTGTTGTTGATGATGGGGGTTGTAAGTGGGTTGTTGGGTCACTTGTGGTTTTGGTGTGTGTTGGTTTGAGGTATAGGGTGGGTAAGGGGGGTTGTATTTATAAACCTTGAGGGGAGGGTCGGTCGTTGGATGTCGATAATGAGGGGTGGGGATCATAGATGGCACTCTCCGGCTATGAGGGCAGCTGTGATAAAGATGCGATGTGGATAGAACAATGACCTTGTCTTGCTCGTTGTCTTGGATCGAGGTTTTGATTTCGTTTTCTTTTCTGCCCATGCGCTCTGCTTCGATTATCACCACTAATGCTGGTGGTGAACCTTTGTTTCGAGGGTTTGCCCACTGTATGAGCCTCTTTCAACTTTATCGTTCTATCTCTTCTGTGCATGCCAGGCATACTAACATGATTTGATAGACGTGATATTCGGGGCGAATAGCAAGTGCATTATTCCAATCATCTTCCAAGCCATGCTATAGCATCAACTGCTTTCTCTATCTGATACCCAACACAAAAAAGGACTAGCAAAAGAGATAACCAAGCTTGGACCGCGACTCTCGCCATCACTACCCCTATCCCCATAACAACGGTGAAAACCCCCCTGCATCCAAACAAAGAGGCTACTCTAAGCCGAGTAAGAGAACTGGCAGGTGACGCCCTTGTTGCGCGTGCCACAGTCCGAGTTCAGTTCCTTGGTCGTCCCGTCGAAGGAGATGTATCCGCCCTGCAGGTCGGAGGCGCTCGCATCGCAGCCCTCGCCGCTGTAGACGACGAGGCTGGCGCCGAGGCCGGTCTCGGAGGAGGAGAAGGTGTAGGGCTGGCTGCCGCCCGCGCTGTTGGTGCACGGGAGACCGAAGTCCTGCTGGCTCCAGGAGTCGTCGCTGGGGGTGCAGATTGCGATCTGGTGCGGTTAGCCACTGTTCATTCTGGACTGGCACGGTAGTTCCAAGGGGAGGGATCATCGTACCCATGGCTCGGCGGCACCCTCGCCGTTGGCCTTGTAGCTGCTGTCGCGGATGGAGGTGTAGTGGATGTAGGCGGTGCCGTCGATGGCGGTGTCGCCCAGCTTGGAGAGCTCGCTGCACGACCAGAGCGCGGAGACCAGCTGGGGCCCGGTCAGGAGGGAGACGGCGGCGGAAATGAGGGCGCTGGAGAACTTCATTTTGTGGATTGGTTGAATGGAGAATGATAGACTTGAGTGAGTCAAAGGAGTGATTGCTTTGCTTGTGGGGGTGTGTTGAGTGTGGTTCGATGATGATGATGATGATGACCTGAAACCACAGATGACAGCACCCTTTATACCCTTTCAATCCACCATCTGTGTCTCCTTTCTGTCAACATTGCAATCTCCATACTGACGAGTGTATACTTGATGACCCATGTTGCCATGAAACCGATATAGTTCCGCATAAGCGAACGAGGTTAGTGGCTTAGTGCCCATCCGATCCGCCTGGGGGCGGTTTTGCGGGGAAGCATGACGCGTACGACTGCCGCGCGGCAGTACGCAGTGTCAAGCTTACTGTCTGTCAGAGACAAATGCTAGATAGCCTTGCACAAGATTTTTCCGGCAGGATTCCGGCCCCGATCCTTGCCGCTGCAGATGTCGACTGCGCCCTAATAGCCCCCATAGATCAACGTCACCCACGTTATCTCAGGATCGGCGACCAATCTAACTTACGAGCTGTCCAATCAGATGTCTCAACAGAGCACTTCTATCGATCGTTGCATATTCGAACTGTTGTCTCGGGTTGTTCGGCCCCAAGGAAGCTCTTCACATGCTTGGGTCGCGGCGTGGGTTGACACCGTCCCTCTAAGCGACGTAAATCAGATCTCGAGTCCTCTGGCAATCTGGATGAAAAGCTGTTCAACCATAGTTTACAACGAGAGTAACTTTCGTCATTAGACCTTCGAATTAAGCACTCTGGCCAATGAACTTGATACGATATGTACACTAAACATGTCCATCACAAACCGGACCCCCTTCTAAGCACCCCTAACATCGGCCGAACGTTCAATTCCCCGACAGCTCCTCAAACAACCTAGCCCATTCGCCGATATCCTCAATGAACCGCCTCGCAATGCCCTTCTTGACCCCACTTTCGACGAAAAACTCCCAATCCTGGTCCAAGTGCATCTGCTCGAGATCCAGCCCATTCTCCAACGCCACGTCGCGCGCCTTGCGAAACTCCGCCTTGAGCAGAGGAGACTGCACATACGACTCCTGCCACTCACAATAAGCCTTGACGGCGACATCCCGCAGCCCGCGAATCTTGATCCTCTTCACCGCCGGCTTGCTCGCCTGCTGCTGCTGCTGCTGCTGCTGCTGAGCCTCCGACTCCGCCGAAGGCGTATTCTCCCCTCCCTCCCCATCCCCCTCCCCCTCGTCCGCCTCATCCTCCTCCCCCAACCGCGGCGGCAACTCGTCGCTCAAAAACGGCAGATTCGACCCGGGCGACGGCTCCCGCGGCGGCGGCGTCTTCTCGCGGGGCCCGTGGTTATGCAGCGGATTGCGCACGCGCACCTGGTACAGGCCCTGGCGCGAATTCCACAGGATGGACATATCAAACGGGCACCCGATGCGCTTGCGGTTGGGCCGCTTGCGGATTTTGGCGACGGAGGGCTTGAAGATGCCCCGGTCGCAGATCAGGTACAGCGCCTTGAGCTGGTTGCCCCCGGTCTCCCCCCTGCTGGAGCGCTTCTTCACCAGCCGGTAGCCGTGGGACTCGGCGAAGGCCTGGGATTTCCCGAAGGCTTCCTCCCAGGTCACGTACCAGCCCTCGAGGGGTGGGGGCAGCTGCAGCATAGAGGGGTCGGGTGGAGGGGGCGGCGGCGCGTTCGGGTCGGTGGGCGGGCCGACGGCGAAGCAGTTGAAGGGGGAGGATGGCGTGGCCATTCCGGGGTGTGGATGGGTGGTTTGCATTTGGGTCACGATGTATACCGTAGTTAAGGATGGAAGGGTGGGGGGTG